GTATGTGTGTGTGTGTGTGAGTGTGTATAAAATATACAGTAGGTAAATATATTGAAGGGCTCTGGTAATTTCATGGTAACCACAAGAGCAAAGCTCAAGTTGTTTGTGATGTTAACAGAAACCAGAGATGTGCTGTATGTATAGCTTCATTCACAGTCTCTGAATTGCCTTTTATATAGTTTGTGGATCACACAAGAGTTTAAGAGGAAAAATATTTTCTTTAAATTCATGTACATAATGTCCCTTTTCCTTCCAACATACCAGAAGAAGGCCTGATAATTTTGACTCATTGTAAAACTTTACTGAATTTATTTTTAGTACAAGAATGTCTTTCGCACCTAAATTTCACTATGAGACATCTATGATGTAACTTCTTGCTAAAAACTGAAGATATAATACCGAGAGCCAACTAAAATGCAGGCAGGATGATTTGCATGTATAGCAGCTAAAGAACAGAAATTTGATAATAATTATACTTCTGAAAAGCTTAACTGTCTCGTGAAAGAAGATGCAAAGTTTTTCTAGCCACTTACGGCATTTCTGAACTTCAGTTTGCTAACCTGGATTCCTTCCTCCAGTGAGGGAACGTTGGGCACCACTCTGAAAGCTTTAAGAATTGGTAGTTTGTTCACATACTTCTTTGACAAGACACAGGTATATTTTAGGATTTGTGGCTGAATTCTGCTCTCATTTACACCTGTGCAATCTCACTGAAGTTAAATTGAAAGAAGCTTGTCTAGGATAAAAATATCAGGAAGACTGGTGGTGCTAAATTTATAGTTTGCTGCAGACCAAACTAATAGAAATCTGGAAGGAAAGACTGATTTTGTGATACCTCCAGACCACATATGTTATTGGACACTTTGAAACTGGGCCTCTGAACCTTTTGAAGTCTGCCCATCAAGTCCGTATTAAAGGCGTAAGTTGTGTGTGTTCCCATTTAAACAGATTTTGAGGAAAATTCTTCTAGTAATTATATCTGTGCAGCCTGGGCAATTGCAGTATTTGGCACAGGGTGTCTTAAAAAGCAATCTGAGTGGGTCACACAAATAAGACTTTGTCTTATATAAGTTAGCTCTGGGGATGGTGAGCACCTTCAGAATTAGCTCATGTTTTAGAGCTGCATAGATGCATTAGTTCCCATCTGGGCAAAATGATTCTGTTATGAAGGTTCTGAGATTAACCATTTGGCCCAGAAATGCCGTCAGAAAGAATGCAATTGTGTGTGTGTGTGTGTGTGTGTGTGTGTGTGTGTATTTAAAATTGCAACCTTTATAATTAATTAAAATTAGAAATTCAGCACTACGAAAGCTTAGCTTTCTATTTCTTGGATCATTCCCCTTTTAAGCACTTTAAGAAGTCCAAATCTTATATTTTAAAAAGACATTGCATTTATTCTGCAGTGTGAAAAATAGATGCCACATACTTTTTGCAAAAAAGTATTTATTAGTATCTATTGTGAGCATAACAGGACATACCCTCACCTTGAGTAATCTGGCAGGCACTTCAGGTAAGCTTAAGCCAGTTTCCACGAGCTGATGGCCTGGCCCACAACTTCTGAGTTTAATAACACTTGGATTGTTGTTGGTACAGGCCAGGTTTTCTCAAAGAGCAGTATGGCATGGTTACTTGGCCATTTTTTGGCAGCTGGGGGTGCCAAACAGCACCCCATTGTCCCCATCTGACTCCTGTCTCCACACTCTTCCCTTGGCTATGCTGGTACTGTTTATGGCACTGTTCAGTGAACCTGCTTACAGAGCTTTATTCAGGTATAAAAAACAGTATCCTTTTTGCTAAATTATTGTTTAACCGTGCCAGCTTCCTATTACAATTCAGCAAACAGCAGCACCTGCACAGCTTAAGTGGAACAGTATGGGAATAGAAATGGGCACCTTGTTTTATAGGAAGAAAGGGAAAGAACACCCAAACAGTTGCTTAATCTGTCACTGCTGCTGCAAGAAATGTATAAGCAACCATGCAATACAATAAAGTACAAATAAAAGATTCCAGTGCTTCTGAACATAACAAAGACGAAAGTTTTCATGCGGATGACCAAGTTTCTGATTTGTCCACTTCATGACTGGAATAGAATGTATATAGTTTGGGCTTTCAGGCTCTGTGAAGATATCATCATGCTTTTTTAGTTTTTTTAGCTGCAATTTTCTTAACCACTCTCCTCTGTGCCTTCATCACATCCTATGTGACTCCAAATCTCCATAAGTTTGAGGCAGCAAGCCTTATGAGCATTACTATGTGACTCTCCAGTTGCCATACATGCTTCTCCTCTTTCCAAACATTGCAAATCCCCTTTTCCCTTTTTGTCATAGCCTGTATGTCTTTATCTTAGGATATGAGAAATCTTCCAGGCAATAGGATAGTCAGAGATCCCTGAGCTGAGCCATAAGAGATGTATTGCTCTCTTTGGAAACCTTCAGAGACTGCTATTACATGCGACAAATTTCTATAACCAAGGCAATGGTTCAGATAGATCCAGATATGGCATATCCTTTAATCCCCAGATCAGTTACCTGTTCTCTGAGGACCAAGAACAAGTTTGTCTGATTACAAGTCAAAATAGGTTCAGGTAGCTGAGGATCACGGCAAGCTGTGGAAGGTCTCCCATGAGTCTGATGTTTGAGAATATTCTAAAAACTGCTGAAGGGAGGAGGCAAGTACTGGGATTGAAAAAGCTCTGAAACTCTCACTAGGGTCTCTTTCCTCCTGAACATCTCAGAAGGCCCACAAGAAGGAGGAAATATCCTTGATCTCCTCCCCCAGGCACATTATTCACTCCCTTACCTCTCAGCACCTCTAGGACGTGGAGGAACAGATGCCTGAGGTGTGCCTGGCTAGCTGTGCACACGCGTGTGTGTGGATAGGCAAGCTGCATTTGTGTGAGTGGGTGTCTTAAGCGTGCATATGCATGTGCATGTGAACAGAGAGACTAGGAAGAGCAAGAGTCTGGGGTGACGTGTTGCTACCCCGACTGTTCCCCAGCCTTTTACAGGAAACGGGGCTGGAACATTGACCCAGACTGGTTCTTTTCTAACGCTGAAACTGCCAAGGAGCCCGGATTAGTTTGTCAGCTCCTAATGACCCATGCTCATGTAACTTCAAAATATTAACTTTTAAAATAGGAGCCTAATTATCTCATCCTCTATATCTGCACTAGATCTCAGCTAGATGAGTTCAGTGAACCATAATTTATCTCTTCTGTTTGTTAGTGGTTTGGGGGGTATGTGCTCTTGCGAAGTAATAGGACAATGGGAAAAAAAAACAACTCAGCATTAGAAACGTTTTTTCACTGTGTGTGTGTGTGCGTGTGTATGTGTGTGTGCATGTGACTGTCATAATTCATTACTTCCACTGACCTCAAATTTGGCAGAAAAAAAAATCGCTCAGCCACAGAGATAACCTACATATCTTCAAGCCAAAATTCCTTTGTCTGTGGACCTGGAATGGGAAGGCAAAATTAAGTCTGAAGTGGGAACTCACTTTGCATGCTAACCAAAGAGTAATTATAGTCCTTCCAACATACAGCAGTGAAGAAACAAAGACACGTGGGCTCAATCCCAATGCATCAGAGCAATGGTATACTGAACAGATAACAGATTCTTAGGATGAAGGCAAGTTTAGCAAAGTGAAAGAAAAAGAAAAGAATTCGGTTTTTGGCAAAGTTCTCCACTGTGAATGAAGGCTACATGTCTTGTATCATCATATTCTCTTCTCTACTACAGTTTCTAGATTTTTTTTTAAATCAGCATTCGGGAAAGAGATGCAAGTAAAGATAGAGAAGAAATATAAAGCTATGTAGAAGAATGGTAGGTGTAAGTGAGAAATGACAAAAAAGGTCAGAGTATATCCATATGGCAGTGACAGAGGGATACAAAGAGTGGAGAGTTTAAAACAGAGAAGGACTGAATGTGAAGTTTGATTACAGCGAAGAGAAGAGAGGACGAATGAAAGAATGTACAGTCAGGGATAATGACAGGAGCTAACTTGTACTAGGCCTTGAAAATCCTTCTGTCTGTTGATCAAATAATAAATATGAGAGAAATATATATCCACAAACAGCATGTATATATAGATGGAGAAGGCCTGAGACTCAAAGTTAAGCTTTAAGTGACTGCTAAGTATAGAAGGCACTACACATCAAAGCTTGCATACGTGGTTACTCCAGATCTTCAGCAGACATTGCTGGTAACCACAAAGTTTTTCTCCTAGTCTGCCCTGCAATGTTTTCCAGGTCTACACAGTGCAGCCAGTTAAGGCTAAGAGCTGAGAAAGAAATGCCCTCAAGTATGATTTTTGTATAACAACATAATGAAAAGGATTTTTATCATAAAGCCATCTATGAAACAACTGTAGCAAGAACTTGTAAATGTACTATCAATCATGCTTGTATTTTATGAATTTGTTTGTTTTAAAATAACTGTGTAAGGCTATTCAAGATTTACATTTTTTAAATATTTGTTGGGCTTCATAGCTTGAGAAATCTTAGTTTGTTTTGTTCACCATTTTACACTATTTTTTTCCATCATATTGAGACCAATTTCTGAGTAGGAGAAGATTTATAATGACAACAGCTATGATACTGCATAATCTTTGACACCTTTTCTTTGAACTCCGTTGTAGGCTTCCACTGAAAGCCTTCAACTGTCTGGACTGATGGGCATGCTGAGGTTCACTGTTGCATACCCAGGGCAAAGTCACAGAGTAAATGGAAGATGGAACAGAGAATACGATTTAGCAGCTGTAGCTCCAAGGCATATGGTCTAGCATTTTGACTCATGTAATGATCTAGCTCCAAGGCATATGATCCAGTATTTTGGTTCATGTAGTATCTTCATGGTGTTTTCTAATATGATTGCACTGAACTGGTTAAGTACTTGTTACAGAGCAGAACTAATTATGGATATTTTAAGTGAAGCAAAACAAATAATGCAGAAAACAAGAGACGAAATATCTAAATTTAATCTCATTCATTTTATATGTTCCAGATTCAGAACAATCTGTGGGCAGGGAATGCGGCTAGCGGCTCTGTGGTTACTTCCTGCATGCTACCACGAGATACTTCCTCCTGTATGACACCTTATTCCCATTCACCCCGGACAGATTCCGGCTACACAGGCTTTTCAAACCACCAGAATCAGTTCAGCCATGTGCCCCTCAACAATTTTTTCACTGACTCTTTACTTTCTGGGGCAACCAATGGACATGCTTTTGAAACCAAGCCGGAATTTGAAAGGAGGTCCTCCAGCATTGCAGTTCTACGGATGAAAGCCAAAGAGCATGCTGCCAATATTTCCTGGGCCATGTAATATAGCAATAACCTTTCTTAATTTCTTTCTTTCTTTTTTTTTTTTTTAATAGCAAACCGAAAACATTTTTATTTCCCATATTTAAAGGACACAACAATAAGCTGCTGTGTGTGGAATGCTAGAAATCACGGTATACAGAAAGTCTGCTTAAACAAATGCAATATAATATTTAACAATAAAACTTAAGAATAAACTAAATAGATTTACCATACATCAAGCTCAACAAGCCCTCTTTGTTTTGGTTTCTATATAAAAACATGTTTTGTTGTACTGGTTGATGAAATATGATTATAGAACCTGCAAAAAAGAATAAAACTATTAAGCAAATATGTCTACTCTATTGGTTTCTAAAAATCCTGCATGCAAAATTAATGCTTTACAAATGAATACTTGAAAAAGAGGAACTCTGTAGAGGAAAATAAATTTGTTATACTAAAGCCATGAGGTAAATCTCTAAGCACACTGTGCAGAGAGGGAAATATATGACCATTCATGCTGTAGATGGAACTTGTAGCCCTAACTCTCTCAGCACCGTGCTGCTGCTCTGAGTCAGCGCTTCTGTTTTGCTACGTCTGTGTAGGGCTTATTGGACTTGTGTATCAATCCACAGCATATGTAATGGGAAAGGGAGATAGTCCTTTATTTTATGGACCTAAGTGTATTCCTATTAAAGGTAAAGAGATTTTTGCCAAAACTGTCGCTGGAAGCAGGATTACGGTGTTTAATAGGGCTTTCAAAGAAGTGCACAGATTATTTAAATCAACCAGTGTTTCAATGAAATTTTTAAGGTAGCAAATAAAGTATTTTGAAGCTTAGGTGATTAGCAGAGAGCATGGAAAAGTACTGGAACACTTTCAGCAGAGTCCAGATTTAGAAAATATCCCCGTAAGAGTCACTCTTGCTAATTGTCTTTTGTTATGCTATGGTCAAATTGAAAAGAGAAGAAAAAAAGACCTTATCCAGCAAGGCTTGCCAGTTTCAATCTGTAACTGATCTTGAGATGTTACAAGAGTACATTTCACTTAGTTTTAGTTACAGTTTGTTGATACTTTTGCTTATTTTTATTTTTTTTTTCAGAGTGTAAGACAGCTTTGCTCCCTTTAAAGTCCATAGGAAAAATCCTGTCGACTGAAGTGGCAGCAGGATTTGGCTCTCATCTCCCAGCCTATCACAAAGGAATTAAAATGTCAGCAGACTTTCTGACATTTCTGGTGGAAAAAAAAAAATAGAGGGGAAGAAAAATACTTTACATCTGGAGAATTGCTATCTGCTTTGATTTACTTCTCCTCCCTTTCCCCTGTCACATTCCAGGCTCCTTCAGATGAGTGAAATGTCAGCCTCTTTGAAAGCAACAGTCAGTCTCTCAGGTTCATAAAGGCAAAGTAAATTAATTGAAATAAAGAAGGACTTGCATGGCTGTGATTAGAACAGGATACAACTCTCTGGGCACCCCCTGCTCCTTCTTGCTTTTCTCTCCGGCCATTACTTAGAAGTGGAGAGTGGGTGAGGGGAGAAGGGAAGATCGGGGAAGCACATTTCATCACAGCAACACTGAACTACCAGCACTCATAAAAACAAACTCACAGGAACCCCCAGATTGGCCCTGCTCCTCCTACTTATGAGGCTAAGCTTGAAAACATAAATAGGAGAGAGAGCCTTTCTGTTCCTCGTCTGTGCAATATATAAATTTAACCTTGAAACCATTAGGATCAGTTGGAAATGAGAACTTTACAGCAAATTTATACCAAGCTGGTTGAAAGAAAGGTTGTCCTATTTGTCACTAGTAAGAAACTCAATGTTTAATGCATATATATACTTCAATTTGTGGTTTCTTAATTTTATTCTCTTTCTTAAAATGAACTTCAACTTTGGCCTGAGGATCTGGGGAAAAAACATTCAGACTAGAATTTATTTTTTTCTTTCTTATAGTATGCTTAGACAACAGTAAAATGAGCCTTATGATTTAAATCAAAAAGCTTTTTATTAGCACAGGTAAATATGGAGGATTTATATAGACACTTATGCTGTAAGCTGAACGAGAAAAGCGGTGGAAATAGTTTTTTAAAAAGGCCATACTATTCCCAATTCTAAAATGTGTTTTTCATTTTTTTTCAGTTTCCACGCAATCATTTTTTAAGGTACAGTATTTGGAACATATCAAACTGATTTCCAGATAATTTTTATTAGAGCATCATTAGTGGATAAAGCAGCAAAAACTTAACTGGCAAACTTCGAGCCATTTTTATTGTTGGCTCTCCTTCAGTTTACTGATGTAATTTAATAGCAGAAGTTGTAATTATTGTCTCGTGAAATCCAGAAAAAAGTTCAATTTTACAAGGCATTTTATGTCAAGAGTAAAATTAAACAATTCCAAGGAATTTATTGCAGTAACAGAATGCTTGGGCAAAATAAACAACCATTTTCAAGCATCACAGCATATCTAGATGCTTGAAGCT